TATGTATTATCCTCTCGAATCACTCTCTCTAGTAAAAAAAAACCGCATTAAGATCGGTTGCGTAATTTTAACGATTTAAGCTTACATAGGGACAAACAGACAGCACCTTTATTTTATACTTTATAGTGATACCTCTTCCGGTATATCTAGTACACTGTTCCTAACTTTAAGGTATGATTTACTGTAATACGAAGAAAATAAATAACCAAAAACGTGGAACATTAGATGCGATGCCACGTGAAACAACTCAGCTGTTCTGTGACCATAAACGATGTAAAGTGTACACAATGTCTGGAATTTTAGAACAGCATGAAAAGGTTTGGAATCCTTAAAATAATTCAGTTTAACTTTTTTAAACATAACTTTTATGCTAATGGATAGTTTGTTTCCAACACATTTTACTGAACGCCATAGGTGTAAACGTCGATCAGAGTTTAACAACATAAGGGTCAACTTCAACGTCACTACTAATCGGTCAGGTAACTAAAGGTGACTGAAGATTATACATTCGTAATCACCTTCCCTCACGTTTAAATTAGTCGTGACGTCAGGCTCTGTCGATACACCCAATGTTAAGTCATTTGCTATGGTTTTTATATTTTAATTCTTAAAACGTGACACTGAACTACTATTATTCTAGGTCAGCCAGTTAAATATTTATTAGTGTTTCAAAGAGAATCATTTACCCAGATATATAACGTTAGCCATTTAATAATAATCTGAGTATGGACTTAGAATAAAGTTTTTAAATGAAATTTTGGCATATTCGGTTATGACGAAACAAATAATTTACCTCTTGAGCAAGATCAATACAAGATGACCAAACATGCGGTTTGGGTGGGTTTTTATTTATTAATTTAATATGGGTATGATTTTACAAAAAGGATACTTGTGTTGATGCAAAGTAATTTTAGTAAAAAGTAAATGAGCATACACGTTTTCGCGTTTTGTCACTATCGAATAATTTGACCAGAAATTAAAAAAAAAAATTCCGTACCTTGGCTTTGGATTTCACAATAATCTAAAATAAATTAAGCGCCGTATTTTTAGCAAAATTTTTAAATATTATTTTATGAAAGATGGTTTACAGCTTTACGAGGGCTATGCCACCCTAATAGACATTTTAAAATGATGATTTGGAGCAGATGATAAGCTAGGCTTCGTCACCGGGGTCATGGGTTCGACTCCCGCACCAGACAAGTATTTGTGTGACAAACAGATAATTACTTACACCGGATGATTTTCCCCCGGAAGGTTTTACATTATGCAGGTGGCCCTTCGTAAAAACCCAACCAACGTCATTAATTAAATGATTCATATGATGTGCCTATCCCACCTAGGTGGGATAAGGTCAGTGAAAGAAAGAAAAAGATAAAAAGGAATTTTGATACAATTTTACAAAAAATCACGACGAAGAATATACAGGATGATTTTATAGACGACGGATACTATATTAACAGAGCAGAATTTGATTCTAAATCTGAATCTGGTACGTACTTGTGACCTCATTTTTTTTTTCAAAGATTATTTTTAATTTTTTCAAATATTATGGACACCTTAAGAAATTCCTGCCTTACCGTCTCAATACAATAACGTATTCACGAGCACTAAAACTCTTCGCTGAAGGCATAATTACTAAACCGCTTATCAATAGGGTGACCACTCTTAACGGGATAAACAAACAATTTTTGAATTGATATTTTTCAGGTTATTTCCTGTCAAAATAAAATGTTAATATATTTTTGAATTATGGAATACTCAATTAACATTTTGTCAAAGTATGTACTTCGTCTAAAAAATCATCCTGTATATAATAGAACCTCAATAATAAAACGGAGTACTCGACCTTTCATACAATTGGGATTTAGACTTTGTAATAGTTAGTCGTATACGCTATAAGTCTTGTAATGGGAAAAGATGTTAAATGATTGGTTCGCCTCATTTGTGATTATTGCCACTCAAGGGACATCCACAACCACCTCGGAGTTACATTTGCGTTATCAACATTGAAGGTGGACAACTACTCTGACACATTCTGTTTCATCTAACACTTCTGTTTCATGTTTCAGACACTGCTGCGTGGCACCCTAATTGAAGGCTGTGATGTATTGAAATATATCTCGCGTGCGATCTCACCACGCGTCGGCTGTGTACTGGGTAGCAATCCTCTAAGGCAAATACCTGCGCCTTGGGCGACGGTAGTACGATGATTAGGGAGTACGAAGCGGTTACTGCACAATTTGTGTTGTTGTAGAGGTCTCCTCTTTTCGAGCGCCTGGGGCGAGAGGGAACTGTTTTCTTTTCTCGTTTATCACTTATCGCTTAGGGCATGTGTTTATTTATTGTTTTTTATGTGCATTACTATGTGTTTGTTCATAGCGCTGGTTTATATTGAAATCCGGCCAAGTGCGAGTCGGACTCGCACACGAAGGGTTCCGTACCATTATCTATAAAAACTGCAAAAAAATCATGTCTGTTGTATGGGAGCCCCACTTAAATATTTTTTATCCTATTGTATTTGTTGTTTTAGTGGCAACAGAAATCATCATCTGTGAAAATTTCAACAATCTAATTATTATGGTTCATGAGATAGACTTCACTTTTTGAGTACGGAACCCTAAAAATGATGTATCTAAATTAAATAAGATATTTTTTTATATAGTAAGACATTATATATTGTCACTTTCATTTAGTTTCTAATTGTATCAAAAAAAAATCTAAATGTGTATTAGTTACGATATATGTATGTATAGAATTTAGATTTACGTAATATCATCCTCCTCCTGCCCTTAACCAATCTAGATGGGGTCGACACAACATGTAAATCATGTTGTAACTGGTTTTGGATAGGTTTTTTTAGGACCGGCCGCCTGCCTGACGTCAACCCTCTTTGGGAACAAACACCCAGATCCTGTACAACTATCCGTGGGTCACACAAATACTTGTTCTGTGCGGGAATCAAACCCACGACATTCGACGCAGATGCTAATTTCACACAAAGCCGGTTTCTGAAACACTGATCATTAATAGAAGTTAACTAATCAGCTGTCTAATGACTTTTCAAATGTCATTTGAGTTGCCAAAAGGATTACCATTGATTTTAACCATCTTCTTAACGATCGGAATGATCAATTCAAAGAGTTTAACCATCCTTTTGGCCACTTGATATTTGAAAAGTTCAGTGTTTCAAAAACCGGGTGTAAGTACGTTAAAAAATTAATGCAGATGTCTTTTATGCGTCAGTTGAATTATATGTATTTTCGGAATATCGTGTTCGGAGAGCGGTCACAACATTGAAATGGATTTAGTTAACGGTCCAATGATAATTATTCATCATTCGTGTTAAAAACGGATCTTTTATTGCGGCCCGTGCACGACATCATATGTGATTTCACAGCCTCAATACGAGATTGTTGGATTTAATACGCCAGCCCACTAGCCCGTTAAGACAAAAGTGAAACGGGGTCTGGTGGATCAAAATGGTTTGTCGACAGCGATGTTTCATATCGTGAATTTATTTAAAAAAAATTAATGTTAACGATAAAATCCTACGGAAGAATACGGTAGTACTTTACATACTTAAAGTTTAATACTGGCGACCCGCTACGGCTTCACTTCAATGCTGAATGTTTGTTATCGCCATCGCACTAGAATCCTTTAAAATTATCAGTGTTTCTGTACTATATTATGCATGAATTATACATATAAACATTTCCCTTGGATCACTTTATCTATTCAAGAAAACCGCATCAAAATTCGTTGCGTAGAATTAAAGATCTAAGCATATATAGGAACAGACAGACAGCGGGACGACTCTGTTTTATAATATTTAATGATAATGATGATTACAATTTGTACTGTATGGTTACTGTATTTTACATTTTCAGAATTATGTAGTATCTATGGTTGTATTTATCTAATCGATATGATAAGTTAAAAATAACGGGAATACATACAAAGTTCTAAGGTACTTTCTCTGTCTAAGGTACTTTGACTCAGTAAAGATGTATAGAAGCCTACTCCTCTAAACTATAAACTGTAAAATGTTCAGGTTAAAAGAAAAAAATGAAAGAGGTTAAGTTTAACTATATAACGTTAATCATAGTCATCTTAACTTAACAATAAAGGTTAGTAGCAAATTGAATTCAGTTTTGTTCATAATAACGCAAGGCGCAGTTGCGCGGCTGAGGTAACGGAATAATTCATATATTTTGCAACTAAGCACTGCTATTAATGTATCGTAGTATCGTTTGTACAGTAGATAATAAAATTAACATCCATCTATAAAATAACCGTAGGTTTTCATAAATTTAATATCTCTTAGCGCTTTTGCTAAATTGAAAATGGCAGATACGTGTTAGAGCTTACTTTATAAACAACTAGTTGCTGCCCGCGACCACGTCTGCGTAGAATAGGCTGAAGGTGTAACATTTAGACGGGAAGACAAATATACATAAAATATGTATATAAATTATAGCCTATGTCTTATTCTGATGTATAAGCTATATTATTGTAAAGTTTCATTAAAATCCATTCAGTAGTTTTTGCGTGAAAGAGTAACAAACATCCATCTATACATACAAACTTTCGCGTTCATAATATTAGTAAGGATTATCTCGGTTATGTAGTAGTCTAGCCCGTCGCACATACTCCAGTGGACGTGTAAGTGAATTTTTCGCGTAAAAAATCCAATAATATCGTAATCATTGAAGCTAATGCATCTCTGTGCATAATGATATATTATTTAATAAAGATTTATTGTTCGTCCCAAAATCTTCAAAACGAATGATTCTGAGAGGAAAAAGGTCAACTATGGGGAAAAAAATTGGCGCAGGTAAGACAAAATTGTTAAATATATACTTAGATAGCTATATGTATATATCTTAACATAGATACTACAGACATTATGCAATATTGCCACAGGTATGGTTTTTAAATAGCATTCATAAACAATTTTTTTGTTACTTAACTGGTATCATTTAGATAAAAAGTCTTCTTACCTTTCGCTAAAACTGTGTGCATCAAGCCGAAACAGAATACAAATTTAATAAGCACCATCTTGCCGGTTTCTATTTTAAACACTTCACTGAAACTGCTTCGCTATGATCTGAAACAAAACATTTGGTACTTAATATACATGGTAGAATAATATATGACGGTACTGTTTCAATAATTACCGTACATAATCTAGAAGGCAAAAAATGTAAAAGAAATGAAGTTATACATTATTAAGAGATATACTGGTATACAAGTTTCTTGAAATAATTTCTGTAAAATAAATTATATATATAAAAAGTAAAGTAAAGTATCAGCCTATACATGTCCCACTGCTGGGCAAAGGCCTCCTCTATACAGAGGGTATCAGGGCATAGTCAACCACGCGGCCCCACTGCGGATTGGTGGACTTCACATATCTTCGAAATATTTTTTTTTTGTTATTATTTCGAAAATATGCAGGTTTCCTCACGATGTTTTTCTTCACCGCTGAGCACGTGATAATTCAGCACTTAAAATTGACAATTTCATTGGTGCCGGCACCGGGGATTGAACTCAGGTTGCTCGAATAAATTGAATTAAAGGCGAGCGCCCGGACACTGAGCTATCACGGCTCGGCTATTATAAAATATATTAATTTTATATGTAAAATTATAAAAATTTAATTTAATGTAAATCTCCTTCCTAAATAATGAATAAGTATTCTAACAAACAATTTCTGTGATTTTTTCCATAAAATTAACATCCCAACCAACAAAGAACATTTGATAGCTTGTGGTGCTTAATCGACTAATAATGTTTGAATAAATAAAGAAGAAATCGTCAACAACTCCATAAGATGGGTTCACTAAGGACGCACATATAATGAGTAAATTGCGTTTTTCTTTTATAACATACTCGGATAGTCGTTGTTTATGTTGCTGATAGATTGGCAGCCTGTCAATACACGACGAGGTAACATTATGGACATTTGTTGGTGAATGTCACATGTCATTATGACATTTTACGTCAGTCGACGTCGACAGAAGACATTGGCTTTGCATGGCGGTCGATATTTTGGTACGGTAAGTGTAAATTTGTTGTACTGATACTATGATTATACAGTTATTGGTATAATAGCAACGACCCCACAGTGTGAAGGTAGTAAATAAAGTACAACGTATATTCCATGACCTCGTATTATGATAAGTCATATCTCTTTTTATAAAAGTGAAATATTAAATTAATCGATTGAAAAAGCAGTAAAAAAACTAAGAAAATAATAGACTAATAGTATAATAATAGCAAGAAATATTTATCCAATGCTTAGTTAGAGAATTCTACAGCACATTTTAAAGAATAAAAAGTTTTTAACAAAAAAAAGATCCCACTTCAAGAAAGTCTATTAGCACTAAAAAGTTTAGAATAATACTAAATATTTCTTACTAAAATCCTGAAGATGTAACCTTTATAATCTAACCTACCTAACCAGTAACAAAAGTTAAACATTTTCTGAGTCAGTGACATTGTTCACTTTGGGTAATTGTTGTACATGATAATACCTTGCTAAAAAATATAAAGAAGCTAAGCAACGATTATTGCGGCTATGCAATAAATAGGTTAAAAGATATCATTATTAATTTTTTAATTATAAAATGTAATTAAATGAAACTAGTTTACGGATTTTATCGCGTTTTTTATTTTGAACTCCCGACGTTTCATTTAATATGTATAATATTCGCGTAAAATCAAGAAAACAGTATATAAGGTAAGTTCAATTTATAGTTATTGAATTAACTAGACGATAAAATTCATACATTTTCTTTATCTGAAATGCGAGTAGGAGTAAATATAAATAGGGGTAAAAAATCGGCAGTTAAAATACAATCATGACGAAACAGTATGGCAAGTATAATCCTTGCGGTTCTGTTACGAACGACCTGCATTTGCTTATTCTTTATGGAAAATCGTAAATAGTCAAGCCTTTAAATAAACCCTGTGTCATTGATGGTACATGCATGAATGTTCCTTAAACAATTAACTGCAAAGACTGTGGGCAGATAAAGCGCAATAAAACGGCCATAAACGCTCCGTCGGCTGCGTTTCGGACCGTGTCAGCTTCGATTCCCCAGTTATTAATTAAATTAATTGCTGTAAATTACTGAAGTCGCTTTTCTACGGCGTACGCTTTGAGTTACTTAGAACGGCTGCGATGCGAGGGCTAGACAGTTGCAGCAAAAATTATGCATTCGCTGTATAATTGCTTTGTTATTCACCCCAGTTTCAGTAAGAAATATGAATAAGTAATAAAAAATGTATGCCTTGAAAATTTATGACGCAATAATCTGAAAAAGTTAAAACTATAATGTAATTAGTACATTTGCTTCGAGTTCTTTCAGATGTCCTATCTCTATTCTTTAGCTCTGCTAACCGTTTTGTATAGCGCCGTATTTGAAAAAAAGGGATTAAAAAATAATAATCAGGTAGCCCGTTGCTCGGTTGCCGTGATAGCTCAGTTTCCGGACGCTCGCCTTTAATTCAATATACTCGAACAACACGAGTTCAATCTCCAGTGTCGGCACCATTGTTATTAAGAGCTGAATTATCACGTGCTCAACGGTGAAGGAAAACATCTTGAGGAAACGTGCATATTCTCTAAATAATAACAAAAAATGTTTCGAAATCTATGTGGAAGTCCGCCAATCCGCAGTGGGAACTCGTGGTGGACTATGCCCTGATACCCTTCTTACAGAGGAGGCCTTTGCCCAACGATGGGATATTTATAGGCGAACTTTACTGTAGTAGAAACTATTTACTATTAAAATGTTAACATTGGACAGTTTTGTGATTAGCTTGAATGGTATGTGTGATCTAAAAATGTAGTATAGAATTGAAGAATTAATTTAAGTAATTTTTTTCTCAGGGGCATTTAACATTGAGACATAACAGTGAAAAATGGGCGTTAAAACACTGTATTCGGTATATTTAAGCTCTGCTAATTTTTGAAGTAGAAAATCGAAGTCACAGTTTTCTCTTCTTTTTTTTAAACATTGCACTTAGGATAAAATTATCCTGTGTTGTAAGGACGTTTTACAGACATATATTTCGCGCGGACAAACACCTAGATGCGAAAAAACTATCAGTGGTCACACACTGTGGGTCACGTGTAAAATCGAACCCACGACCCCGACGTCGCAGTCTATATAATAATACCTTAGCGTCTGCGCCACGGAGTCATCAAGTAAGTTTGTGGTGCCTTCGTTGATAGGAATGTATTTTTTACTTTCAGTGCTTACCAATTCCAGAGGCGAGAGAATAAAATGTGTATTCACTGTTAGGTTGTGATATTAAAAGCTGAAAGCTTTACATTTTTCTAAAGTATATCAATTAAGTTCACACAACTACATTACGTTGATAATTAATAACATTAGCGAAATGCAGAAAACAATTGCTGTCTCCGCCCATCATCGGATAGGCTTCGGGAAATAATTAACTTTAATTAGCATTTTAAATCGCGGGTGCTAAATGTTTATTGCACCAATTAGCTTTAAATAGTTCGTCTTCAATCAGGACCATCGGTAAAAAGTAAAAACACAATGCGTAGCGTATCTCGTTTACGAACATCTAAATGGATTAAGGAACGATTGATGTTAATTATCGAGCAGAGAATTAACTGTGAACTTTTAACGAGGGAACTCTTCCTATGTATTTACTCGTACAAAAATCAAAGTGTGCATTGATGTTGCTTTCGTTTGTTACTTATGGTAACATCATTCTGATTATAATTACATTATTTCATAAAATCCATCGTTTACCTTCAATAAAAATATCCTCTTTTGGAGTATATCTTTTCATGTTTTTAAAAATTACTTATGTTTTTTTTTAGTCTCCTAGACGTTTTTTACTTTTGAGCAATAGTTTATTTCCATTAATAAAATAAATTATAATTAGAACGACCAATTTCTTGCTTGACTATACTTATGATTTAATTTTCCGAGTCTTTTGCCTGAGAACGGTGATAGGGTTACCACCTCATGTCTGTGTGTCCCTTACATAAACTTATATAAAGGACTTGAGCACTCGTAGTTACGAACAAGGTGGGTTTTTGTCCAACTTTCTACTCGTTCTTCTAGCTGAAAAAGCGGTATGTCTAAAGATCATGTAATGGCGATGGTTTGATCTTCTTTATGAGTTCAACATTTAATAGTGATTCATTGCGACGACCTATCAATTTCTTCCTATTATGACTTAGAATGCGAGTTCTATGAAAGCTCTTAGTAGTAATTTATTATTTACTACATATTGTATGATTTCTAGTTTATAGAACAAATTTGGTAATGTGTGATGGGCGTATGTAGATGAAATGAAGTACTCTTTGTAGTCTTTTTTCCAAAGTGCTGGTAAATATTTGGCGGAGACTATTAAGCTAATTTTACTTAATAATATATATTTTTAAAAGGTTGGCAACTCACACTGTTATTCAAATTGGGGCGAGATTGATACTGGAATATTTCGGTAAAGCAACACTAATCCTATAAGTTTGGTGGAAGATTCTCCCATGGACATTACTTGGTATAAAAGAATTACAAGAGTACAGTACTCAGACAAAAAAAATTACATTATTTTATCAGCTTTTCTTGGTTACGGTGATAGTTTACGCTTAGCGAGTTTTTACTATAAATGTACTGAGGCAAAAGACAGAAAGTTGTATTTTGCGATAACCTAAACAGTTCTGACTCGAAATAGATTATGAACATAATTTTTCTATTCAGTAGGACAAGGAGAGGGTTTTTTTTAACTATTGAATAGAATAATGACGTATCATTTTATTATGCTTAGCTCATCATTCTCCTTCCCATTACATGTGAATTATTTTGTTAGTATTTGTTGGGTTAGGTTAGGTTAGTTAGTTATCGGCTGCAGGCGCTCAAGATCCTCATCTTCGCGCATGTACTTGGGGTAGCGAGTATATCCCCGAACCTGGGCTACTTGGTAAGTAAGAGAGGCCGCGGTTGCGTTCCTTTAGGAGATCCCGTGCCCCCTCATCAGGACTAACGTGGGGTAACGTGGGGTTTTAGTCGGTA